CGGTGAGGACACCCGAGATCTTTCTGCGTGGAGTTTCCATGTTCTCCCCGTGCAGCGTGGGTTCTCTCCAGGTTCTCCGGCTTCCTCCCACACAGTCCAAAAACATGTTGATTGGTGATTCTAAATTGTCTGTAGGTGTGAATGTGAGTGTGTTTGGTTGTCTGTCTCTAAGTGTAGCCCTGTGATAGACTGGTGACCTGTCCAGGGTGTCCCCTGTCTTTGCCCTAAGTTGGCTGGGATAGACTCCAGCCCCCTGAGACCCCAGTGAGTATTAAGCGGTGTATAGATAACGGATGGATAGCCAGGGTTTCAACATGGTGAAAACATTCACAAAGTCTGGAATTACATTTTTTTTAATGTGTAATTTTGAAATTTTACATCATTAGGACAACAAGTGAGCAACTCACTGGGAAAGCAGCTTAGAAAGAGTTATGTGAACTCGGTTTGCTAGCTGGGTTCCACGATGGTTTATTAAAGGGCTACAGAAACACATACTTCAGTACAAAGTCCACAACTCTGACAAAGTGACAGTATTTATATTCTATGCTACGGAAAGTAACATCATGAAAAACCTACTGGAGATTCCTATTTCTCCTCAACGACGTTAGCGAGTGCAGGTGGAGCAACAAGTCCACTCTGACCTGTGGAATAAAAACGCCTTAAGAGTCACGTATGGAGATGTTTGATGTTTTGGTCTATCATCAGGGGATCGGCGGTGAAACATCAGAATGCAAACAGCGCAGCATCTGGAGCAAACGCCTCTGAAGCAGCTCATAGACGTCCACATCATCTCCATCCGTCCACATCCTGATACACTACTGTTGGTGAACTGTGACGGCCGCTACGCTCCACACTCAACGCTCATAAAGGCTAACTCAGCTCGTCTAGACTCTCGTAGCAACAACTCTGAGCTGGAGGCTGATGATAACGTTAACATGCCAGTGACATCACTCCTCATGTGTGTGTACGCAGCAGCTTCTGTGGTTTCCATTGAGCTACACCTGATAAGTGAAATCTATTAATGGCGTGTTAACGACATCAGCATGAGGAGGATGCTGAGCAGCAGAGACCAACACACACACACACACACACACACTCTCACACACACACACACACACACACACAGCCAACCATATCTGAACCTCTCAGAGGCAGAAAATATGACAAAAACTCACATCAAAGTCCTCACGAGGAAAACGCATAAAGTGGGTTTTATATCACATTATTGTTTATTTTAAACACTTGCCTTCCGCTGCCTTTTTTGCAATGTTCATATTTTTATTACACCTGGCCTATTTATTATTGGGATTATTGTTTCATACATCAGGCCGCTGGGTACCGCAGTAGAAAAGCTAATGCACCTTATAGAATAGATTTTTTTTTTTATTTTGTTGTTTTACATAACAGTAATGTCTTTTTTTTTTTATTACTTTAAAAACTCCAATTTCAGTTTTTTCAAATAAACAAGTAATGTTTCGCTGGTTTAATTTACTCTGGTGTCAAAATGAGTATCAATAATTATAGAGTTTCAGTGGTATTGATGGCGACAATTAAATGTCTGGTATCACAGCATCCCAACTAAAAGAAGGACCAGCTGCAGATAACAATGACTCATAAAAATGACAAAATATCTCAAAGAAAAAGATGTTCTGGTAATCAGTTATGGCCTAAAGACCAAATATAGTCGTGACTTGATAATTCGACCCTTAACAATCCGAAACCTTGCTATCCGACAGGTTTTTAGAAAAAACGAACGGAATCCATTAAAAATAGTCTTAACATACTGGCAGCCTTGGATTCTGACTCCGACATGACATTTTATGTCACAAATAAGGATAACGGTGTATTATCTGACTGAACAATCCGACAGATTGGCTACATTCAGACTGCAGGACTTAATGCTCAATTCAGATTTTTTTGTGAAATTAGATTTTTTTGCAAGTTTATTCACATTTCCAATTAAATGCGACTTGTATGTGATCTGCTGTGTGAACTTCATACGACCCAAAAGTGTCCCGCATGTGCCGAAGAGGACACAATGACATCACATGCAGCGAGCGTGCTCTGTGTTTGCGGGAGTAAACATGGATGGCGGCCATGGCGGGGAAGTGGCGCCTGCTATTGGGACCCGCCCTACTAGTTACTATAACAACTATACACAATGAATACTAACAACAAATGACCCTTCAAGCATCAAACCCTCCTTGTATCTCGACCTCAGTCTTGACAATCCGACAGCCTTGCTATCCGACATAAAAGAAGGTTTTACATTTAGTGTCAGATTATCGAATCACGACTGTAATATTAGCTAGGTTAGTATAATTAGAAATTTGTTACTTACTCCAATGCGTGTACAATACTGTTAAATGTGAAGCATATTTCTCCACACATAACACAAAGTAAGACCTTTAAGGCACTGTCGGTTTAGTTTCATATATGATTCACCTCCAAAACTGTATTTTGTAGAAGTTACGTTAGAATTTGTGACGCTAACGATAACTGCGTTTGATGGAACAGAGCTACTAGCGAGCAACTGACAAAAAGAATGAGTAAATCTTGCTGCATATTTATTCGCTATGATGATTTCAGCATTTTATCAGTGCCACAAAATTAAAAGAAAAAAAAAAGCGCTAATAGTTAAGAATCACGCACAATCTACCAGCTAATGGCTTACAAAGAGCTGCGTCGGCTCCGGATCTCTGCAGCAGCCGCAAAGCAGAGAATTAAGTCTGTAAAGTTGCACAGTACATTTTTCAAATCTTCTCCAAACAAATATACTGCTTGAACTAAGTCGGGGATGGAGTCTCTCCCAGCATGCAGAGGCAGGAAAACACCCCGCCTGTCCATCACAGCGCTAATATAGCCTGACATACAATTCAAACACAGCCAGACTAACGCACACATGTACTGTAGGCAGAGAGCTGCTTGTGTTTGGACAGAAGGAAACAGTCCACTGTACCGACTGTGGCAACGGTGTAAAAACACCTCCAGACCTTCAACGCCAACCACGATTCGCTTCTTAATTATTGCCGGTTTACAGAAGTCTTCAAGCTAATCACCGCTCAGACGCCTGATCATTGGAGGACATTTAATATTTGTTAATATGCGCCGAGCGTGCCACGGGGGGAGGATGAAAACAGGAGAGTTGTGCCTTTCCAGCCCTTTTATCTAATTTAACACTGATTGCCAATCACTCAGCTACGTTCAGGGAATCTGCAGGGTTCAAAAAGCTGAATTTAGGATCGCTGTTTCATGTTTCATTCCACGAAAATAGCATTCAAACAGCCTCACAACAAAAAATAATAATAATAAAGGAATACATATCCTGTTCATGATGACTGACACAAATTGACAATTGGCTCCCAGGAAACAAACTGCACTTTATACAGCACTGTCGATGCACCTGGACAATAAAATAAAGGATCTATGATGAACCCAGACTGTAAATCCTTTGCTGGTTAAAACTGTTTAAAAGGACCTGCACAATTCTGACTTTTAGTTACCATGGAAGCACAATCAAGCCCGTACTTAACACCCCGAAACTTCTCACCAGGTGATCGTAGATATGCATGATGGAGCTGGAGAGCCTCCTGCAACAAGTAGAACTGCTTACTGGGTAATTTTAGCCATTAGTCAGTGGGTAAATGGAGAGTGGGAAATGTGGGAAAACGGAACGCACTCCAAAACCGAATGAAGCTGCAGGTTGGCGTGTCCCTCCAGCCTCAGGTATGTGAAGATTGAACAGCGAATGCTCAGGGTACCTGCAACACACACCACTCCGGGGGGGGGATTGATGAAATTAAAGGTTGTCCGGCGGAGGCGATAAGAGGCCACGTGTTTGGAAAGATGGGTCAGAGGCTACACATGTAACCGAACTTTACATTAAAATACTGGCAGATCAATCTAAGAACACGTGAACTGACACATCAAGTCTTGTGTATGTAACCAGAAATATGGAATTTTCTAATTAGATTGTGGCTCCTTTGGTGCATTATATTTATGTTGGACTTTTCTTTTAGCAGCCTACGCTCAGAATATGAATGACTGCTAAAGGTCACGTCATTTATTTTCTTGTTCAAGTAGCCTAAACACAATACCCAATTAAATATGACGCCGTTAAGAAAGCTCAGTAAGCAAAAGTCTGTCTGACAAAAGAAAATGATGCTAACAATGGCCATAATGTAACTGAGGCACCAGTAATAAATAATCAATGGATCAATGTTGTACTCAATGGAACTGATTTATATTTTGATCACATATGAGATATTGGATACTGATGTTATACATATCTATAGATAATATATATACACAGTAATGTTAGCCAATATGTAAAAACATCAAGTTATAATAGTTAAGCTTAAGTGTGTCTGTTTAGCACAGCTGCTGTCATCTCCCAACCCACAATGGATAAACCAATCAATCAAAACGCGCAGTTTCATCCTAAGAAAGGCACGTTACACCAGACTCCAGTCAAACATATGCTAATTTAAAATATACTTGTTTCCTCGTACAATTACGCTGATTGTACAAAGGGAAAATGCGTTTTCGATTATTATTTGAGTCTTTTGATGGATTCGTCGCGAATGTAAAGATAAATAATGAAGAAACCCCGCCGTATTTCAACGGGTTTTGTTCTAAACTTGTAGCATCGCAAACATCAGTCGCTCATGCCCAAAGGACGATGCGTCGTTATTTAACGAGGGAAATTTTTAAAAGTTCTAAGTATGTTCAAATAAGCGCGCAGTAGTTCGCTAAATTTATGCCGAATTGTTCAGAAGCTCATACTGGTTTGGAAATAATGAATATCTCAAAGTCACGTGTGATTTTAATGATTTGTATGCAAGGAAACAAAAAAACAGTCGGTTTTTTAAAGGTAGTCTGGAGTCCCCTCTGTACATCAAAGGATCAAACTGCGTGTGAGCTCTTTCTCACGGAAATACATCAAACTGCTCCAGTGATTTAAGTTTATTCTTATAAAAAAAATAAACAGGTTTACTTGCCGAAGTGGGAACCAGAAGGCTGGCGGGTCGCTCGATCAGCTCAGGTTGCTGTTTCCCGGTCACATTCATCTCCCATACAACCGCTTTCTCTGTCCGCTGACTTCGACGAGAGTTTCTCAAGTCATTTATCCGGCGATTGACTGCGAGTGTTATTCACCGGCGTCCCGTTTACCGACGGCGGCAGACGGAGGGAGCATGTCTGTGAGCTCTCTGAGGCTTTCCGAAAGCTGTCCGTATCCACAGATTAGAGCAGTTTCTCCCGCTGCAGGGACAGATGAGGAGTCGCTGCTCGTTTCTTCTCTCCGGCTCAGCCCGAAGTGTCAGAACACAGCGGCTCCTCTGCTGCTCATCAGTCTGCATGACTCCCCACCTGCTGCCGGTCCTCCGTTAACCATTCCTGCGTCAAAGCCCCGCACGTTAACCCGTTCGCCGGGTCCGAACCCTCACTGGGACTTTAATCAGCAGGAATCACGGATGGATCTGTCATTTGCGTGTCTTTAATTAGCGCTAGAAGTGTCAGCAGAGTAGTGAATGAATGCAATCAGCAGTTTGATGTAAAATATGATGAGACGTGGAGCTCAGGCCTTCATCTCAGCTTCACACAATCTAACAAATCTGACAAAAAAAGTTCCCACTTGACCCCCTCAGAATCAATTTCTATGTGCAGTACTATTACCTTCATACTATGAATATTTTCCTAGTTGCAGGCCCTTGAAGTAAAGAGTATATTATGGCAAAATTAGAAAATGATTTCCAGGCTAGTCAAGGCTACATAAGAGCATAGCATCAAAATGTAAGAACTAATGTTTCATATGCTAGTGTAAACCAAAACCTGGAAAAACAATGGCTATTTTCTTTAAAAAAAAATATATAAACATGCTTATATGAACATATTTGGAGAATAATTAAAACATACCAGACCTAAATTTGTTATCCAAACTGGTTCGTTATGCGTAAAATTAACGATATTCTATAAGTTTTGAGGTTGCGCTAACGTTAGCTGCAACAAGTATGTTACATAACAAATAAAGGAATTAGTTTAGAATTTGTACAACTATTTAATTATTGCATTTTTTTTCAAAACATATGACTTTACTTTGGTATCACTGATTTAATTCATGACATAAAAATAATGTCAGATGTTTAGCATGCATTATCTAAGAATTCAAGCTAGCTAGCTAGTGCTACAGCTAGCTAATATAGTGTAACGTTATTAGCTTAACCTAAAGTCAGCTAGTTAGCCTTTTAGAAGAATAAAACATTTTTTGTAGGCTAGGAAGCGATTATGTTACTGTATTAGACGATGGTGTACACAATTTATTAGAAATGTAACGTTAGCAAAGCTACATTTTGAATATCATTGGCGTCCATGTTGGACTCCTTGTCAGGGGAGCATCTTTCCTCACTCCTACATTTTAACATTTTACAGAAAAAGTTTGTTATTTTTTGTTCAAATGAATCGCTAACCCTCCACCATAACTTTCATGTTAACAGTAAAGAAAAGTTTGTATATATATTCCATTTAAAAACCCACCAGGTTTGATTTCGTACTGTCAAAATATTACATCACCTTCCCTCAAAACCACTTCTTTTGATTTTCTCAGACCAGTGAAAGGATTTCAATATTTTTTAAAGATTAGTAAGGTTACAGTATTCTCTGAGAAAAGACCTGAAATGAAAACTGACTTTATCTAACGGTGAGGAGGAGGGAAGCTTCTCACCCGGTTTACCTTATAACTAGTTTTGACCAAACCACCTATTCAACATGCTGATGGGAGCCTTGAAAGTTCATCCAAAATGCACTTTTTAAAAGTTGTCTCTGTTGAATTATCCAAAAAAAACACAACATATCCAGGCTACCTCTGCTTGTTTTAATTACTCATAGATATGAAACTGTTTTGTTATTGGACCTATGACACATCCCTTAATATTGATGCTCATTGTTGGTTCGAGAAAATAATCCTGCGGAACTAAACGCGACTTTAACTATGGCTCGTGGCACCTGGAGTGGATGTAAAATTGATTTCGCTGCAGATTTTAACAAAACTCAAATGTGTTTTGGAGCCATGAAAATTTCATGTTCCCGTCTCCTGTACTTGCAAAGTTATGAAGGCTCCAAAATGCAGGCAAAACAGTCATATAAATTAAAAAGCACAACACTTTGGCCCACCTACGTACTTCAAGGGCTTGTAACTCGCAATATATTCATAGCGTGAAGGTAAAAGTTTGCATATCTTCATTAAATATACAGAAGTTACTGCACACAAAAAAAAGGAGGAGGCGCTGATTGATTTTTCATGGAACGACCCGGCCTGCTTCCCTGAGCATGTTAAAGCTTAATGGACACTGGCACAAATTAATTTCTGTGGACATTTGGGAACCCTCGGAGACAGTGCTGGAGGGTAGCGAGCAGTTCCCTGTTACAAGGATGATAGCTGATTGATTTTTTTTCCCCCCCTTGTTTGTTTGTTTGTTTGTATGTTTGTGTTGAGTCAGTCTGGGTTCCCTCATAGCTGGGCCGAGCAAGCCGATGCTGCCCTACAAGCGTCGGACTCGCATTGGATTTTAATGGTACGGACACATAGTGGGATTCCTCTTCCAATACCCATCGCTTTGTCAGGAGCCATAGATGGTATAAATAGAGAGACTCTCAACTATCTAAGTGCACACGGCACCTGAGAGATGGTTTCATCTGGTGCGGTTACAGGCCTATAATCAGTGACAGACTTTTTGCTTTGTGTGTGTGTTTTTTTTTTTTTTTCATGTTCAGGATTAGAGCTTTATGTGAATCTGGGCGGGTAACAAATGATGAAGCGCTCCGGTGCAATATATTACAGCGTGGCGCTATCATCGGAGAGTGTGAAAAGGTATCATCAGAGGAGTGGAAGAGGTGCGATTGTTCGGAAAGCTACTTCAGCTTCATACTTGAACAGCAGGCATCCTCCAAAATCTGATGAAATGATGTTTTAGGCCTGTTATGGATTTCAGAAAAGAGAGAGAGAGAGAAAAAAAAAAATCAACACCCCCAACTTAACGTGAAAACATAGCAGGCTTTGTGGAATCGAAGGTGCAGCATTGGGTTTTAGTTAAACAGTTCTCAAAGCAGAGCAGAACGGCGGAGTTAGGGAAAATAAATAGAAAGAGAAAGTGATGCTGGTAAAACACATTCTATACAATAGTAGAAAACTGAAGAATTTGGATAAACTTCATTAAGCTTCATTCGTGCACAATAGTAAAAAATAATACAGTAGTGAATCTATACCTAAATGGATCCACATCAACACACAAACTTTCTGACTCAGTGCACGTCGCAAAAAAGAAATACAAGTCACCAGTGTGTCATAGAAAGCCCAAGAATAGCACAAAACACCTTGAGATTTGGCCTCCCCCTCCACAGGAGACATAACGCAGGTGTAAATAGTAAAATGGATGATGGCTGCATCCCATTTAGCTGTCTCGCTTTCAGGGTATTATGTAGCTCATGTTGGGACACAATCCATTGTTAAAAGTCGCCGGTTCAGCTCGGGTCAGTTTTATTTATAGAGCGCCGATTCACAGCACAAGTCAGCTCAGGATATTTCACTAGCGAGGACCGGGGCCACTACAATGAGCGTTTGAAAATTTAATGACGGGGATGAGTATAGGATGCGAGGGTGGGGAAGTCGTCTGATTGGCTGCTCAGAAGTTTGGGAGAAGGAGAGTTCAACGTACTCGGCCATGGGAGGGAAAGATACAGAGAGTTGTATGTTGGTAAAAAATAAAGCGCATATGCAACTTTTACTTTGTTTTTGTGATTCTCAGTGAGAAATGTTCAGTCCCAATATATTATCAGTGATGCCTTCAGTAGTCAATTAGAGCTCGACTGAACCAAGAAGAAGCTAGTTGAGGTTTTCTATTGTGTTTGTAGACAGTTCGCTGCAGACAGGCCCGTGTAAAGGTGCACATGCATGAGCACGGAGATACATCGCTTTACTTATTCATCAGTTTTGTCAATCAAAACAATAAAAACCTCTTTGTGTCTCCATTTATTCCTTCAGCACCGTGTTACCTTCACTCTGGTATTGTTCAAACCCTGCAAATTAAAATGAACTTCACTGAGAACCTTCCCGAACGATTAATTTTTCACAAGCCCTTGTATAACCGAGTTCTAATACTCAGGGATTTACGTTGTTGTTGTCTAGCCCTGTATCCGAGTTCAGCCTTGTTAAAGCTGCAGCTCAAACTTTCATAAAGCTAAGATGTCTGTATGTCACCCCTACATTTCAGGAGTTTAAACTTTAATACGTAATGAAACTTTCAGAGTTCCCCCTATCATGAAGGGAAAATGATATTCTAGTGTGATGTAGCTCTAGCATCTGGTCTCAGCTCCACAGCGCGAAAGGAAATAGACTTCCGTATGTCCGACCATCAATCAGTTATTTTTAAAGCTCTGCCGGCCCCCTTTCTCAGCCGTGCATGGCGCTGGATCTCTCTCTTGCATCTTTAACTTCTGTGAGGCTTTGAAAACCTTGTGTCGAAGCTTCAAAGTGACTTTCATTCACTGATATGGCATCTAAAAATGATCGCTTTTCCAGGGTTGTGTTTTACAGAAATAGTTTCTAGGCTTAATTATGTGGTGTTGAAAATAAACCGTCTACCCAAAAATGTTTTGTTTGTTCCAGATCCTGGGCTTGATTCAGGAAGCAGTGCTGGTGGGCTACTTCCTGCCATTCTGACCCTTCTCTGTCTCCTGTGACCAGAGACTAATGAGGCGCATGTTTCCTTGGTGGTGTTGTTGTTGTTCCCACCTGATTCTAAAAGAGGTGTTTGCGAGGGTGAACTGGGACCATCTCACCGTTGTTGCTGTCTGCAAAAGTTTTTAAAGTTTTCCTCCGGGGGAAAGCAGGTGAGGTGAACTCGCAATTTTGGCGAGTAAGCCATTTCTGAAACTTTACAATCTAGCTTTTTTTTTGAACAATACGCAGAATTTGGGAGGCTCCCTTGATTAAAGTATCAAATGTTATAATATAAGTGAATTTAGGTAAAACTCCCGTTTTAATCCTTTCATATCTTAGGAAAGTCTTTGTCTG